GATTCAAATGCTTTAACCATAGTATTATTTATTCAAAAATATATAATGCCAGTGAAATAACAGCGATGGATGAAAAATCCTGAACAAGATATTTTGCTAGACAACTTACGAGCAGCTAGTCTATAGAGCTGAATGATTTAAGAGATCAACACGAAAATATAATGTAAACCTAGAGAGCTAAAATGAATTCAAATGCAAGTAAAATACTAGATAGCTACGTTCTAATTGTATGTAAAGCTTTTTATTTTCATATGCAGTTTTCTGACCACACATTTTCAGTTGCTGACAACCTATAGGATGCCCGGCTTTGATTAGAGCTAACTAGTTGAGATGAAATCTTCAAAACAACCGTTGGCTTAAGCTTATACTAAAGCAATTGTATGTTATTGATTTGAAAAATCAAATAGTTTTATCAGTAGTTACCAGGTGTTAGAACGTCGCTTTTTGGTCCATCTCCAGCATTCGTGGAACCAGAAACAGTGACTTCATACGTGGAGTAACTCTGCAGTCCAGTTATCTCGTAGTCATGAGTAAATTTGTCTGTTTCGATCACTTTAATAGGCCCTTTCTGCACTAAAGGTCTGCCGCCAACACTAGCAAGCCTATATTGTATCTTATAGCCTTTGAAAACGCCATTAGTTTTTTCATCTGGTATAGAACCCCATTTTAAATATGTCCTGCCCGTACCACTGTAGCTCTGCGCTTGAACATTTGGAGGCGGTATTTCGGGTACTAAAAAAGTACCAGCGGCAGTTTCAATTTACACATGTTTACAATTCGAATTCAACAATTACAATGGCTAAAATTCAACAGCCAATCAATGCAAGATTTATATTCGCAAAGAGGTAACCTAAACAGTTCATCAGGCGATTAGAGGGCGTGTATGAAGGCTAAAAATCAAGAGCTAAAGAATAATTGGTAGATTTTTTAAGACATGCAAAACAAACCATATGTGGAAATCTAAAAGTTTTTTGCGACAATCTGGTCCTTGCTACTTGTAATAATGATTAGTACGACTTAAAGACTGAGATTTTTCCTGCCTAGAACCTAAACATTCAAAAGAGATCCTTCAAATTGAAAGATATTGTGAAGCAAAGCAAGCTGCCAAAAAATCCAGGTTATGTTCACAATGCCTGCCAAAAAGTCTTGGAACACTGATTCCCAGGTCAAAATCAATCATCCCTCTCTCCCCTACAGAACAATGTTGGCTTACAATCAAACGGGTTAGGATCTTAGGAAGCACTTTCTTTTGCGCTTCTTTTATGATATTTCCCTAAATTATCAACAATGTTCTAGGGGGAAGGGGGCGGTAATTTTTTCGGAAAAAGAATGAAAGATATCAAATGAAATGCACATTGCTGAGTGTTCCAAGTACTTTTGGCAGGCATTGTAACTCTTAAAGAACGATTGCGCAAAGCTTTTGGTCAAGTAGTACTGTGCAGTCAATTACAGAATATTATTTGCATTTTGAAAATTGTCTTACCGCCTTCCAACGTCTTCACTACTTTGGATACTGGTGGACCTCTGCCAACATTTGTAAATGCCAATATTTCGAATGTATAAAAAGAGAAGGGCTTAAGACCCTTTATCGTATCGCTGAAACTGCCGTATGCAGCAACTTTCTCTTTAAATGCAGTATCCCCATGCTTCTTATATCGAATCATAAAGCCACGTGGGTATCCATTGAAATCAACGTATGGATATTGGTCCCATTCTGCGTAAACTTCAGAAGGTTGAGTAGCGCGAATCTGGAATCCTTGCACTGTCTTCCCAGGCACTAACATTTAATTGAAAACAGGATGTCATTATTGCACACAGTTAGTGTAAGGATCTCTATATCTGTTAAAACCTTTTTATGTTGCTGTGCTTATTGAGTTTTTCATTGGTCTACACAGGAATCTTTTTTATTTCGCATCATTAGATACGTCTGCAAAAATCTGGAAACCTGTTTCTCCATAATAACGTAATGGCTTGAATCATTGAATTTTGTATTCTTAGTGATTCACCTCATCTGAAAATTTAAGTCAATTAAATGTTTTCTTGGAAGATTCCTTGATTTTTCAAGAGCCTATTGTAAAAATCGTCCCCTGTATAGCAATCTCATAATCTATTTCAAAAACCCAAATTATGAACATAACTTCCAGGAGTTAAGTATTCCGAATAATTAAACATTGTCTAATATACAGGCTCGTCTTGGCAATTCTCATAAAATTCTTTTGTCTGCATAAATTTATCAAGAGCGAAAATTCATATGAGACAGCCTACGATAAACTTGATGCTTTGATAAACTTAACAATTGAAAAAGCCTTATTGATTATCCAAAATAAACAAATTTGCTATAAGGTACCTCCTTCTAAGGTTTTTCCGATGACCTCATTACTTGCGGGTCCAGCAGCAAATGTGGACGACACAGACATTCGCACTCTATATTCTGCTACAGCGTAGAGGTCTGTTATATTGAACGCACGATTCGCAAGGGGAATTCCAACCACATTCCAGGTACCAACCGGACTGTCTTTCATCCTAAAGAATGCGTAGAAACTCGACAGATTCATGCCGGTTGGCTGAGAACCATTGAACTTCCAAGTTATCATTAGCGTTTTTGGTCCGATTCCAATTACAGTTAAGTTGCTGGGAGGATTCGGCAAAGCTAGAAAGGCAGATTGAATTCGTTTTTAATAAATAAAGAAAATCAGGCCAAGTTATTGTTGAAAGATACAAACAACAAAGATTACCTGATACTCAGAGCATAGTAGAACCGTCCTGTTCTTTATACCAAAGCATGTACAAATCTGCTTATATATAATAGCATTCTCTTAAATAAAAGAAGCCAAAAAATCAACTAACAAATAAAAATTTTACAAATTACGAATTCCCTGAGTTGCATGCTGCCTGAAAACGATGTGATGTAAGCTCCTATAACAAATACTACGACTACACCCGTTCATGATCTAGCAAGCTTACAAAGAAGTATCATATCAAGAACTCAATGTTTAGCCGGTTGCTTAGCAAAATCAATTTCCTTCGCCTTGACGTCTACTAAAGTTTATTCGCCTCAAAGTACACAAGTCCCCTTACATTACTGATTAACACTTCATTCAGAACAGTTTTATTTTCTAGTCAGTTTTCTTTGTACAAGCCTCTTTGCAACTAATCCTTCCATTCCATGTCTTTTAAATACTACAATCACTGCCAAAATTACTTGGAACACCCAAAACTTTGCGCTGTGCTTTTCTATTTTTCATTTGCTTTTCCGAATACATATGACCAAAATAAAATCGTGAGATAATCGGCACAGATACAAATTATATGCAACTTGAGAGTAAGGATAATATACTTTCACGGAAATAATTATTTAGAATCACAAAGATGCTCTCTCAAACACCCCTTGAAACGCATGCCTCGAGCAAATCAGGGACAGAGAGTCTTGGATTTATTCCACAAGATATACCTTTCAGCATTTTTATAATGTGACGGTCACTTGATCTAAAGGAAAATAAATTCAAACATCTTGGTGGTACGAAACTAAAATAAAGACTAATGAAGGAAGAGAGAAAGCGAGAAGATAAAAGATAGTATGAATACTATTAAAGCTTTTTCATTCTGACTAACTTTCTCTAATCGCTAAAGTACACACGTTAGTATATACTATAGTCGATACCAAATCCTACGCAGAAATAAATATTTTTTTATAGCGCCCGTTGGATCGCAGTATTGAGTACAATGCAGAAATAGCTGAGCCAACAATTATTAAATATGAAAGGTGCCTTGGGCCAACCACTATCTGGTCTGTTCTGAGCTTATTGAGCTATTTATTTGCTTGACACTATGTGATGTTTAAGAAGGACTCTAACACAGCGCTGCAACGTAGAACACACTTAATAAATATTTTCTCTGAGAGGATATAACGGATTATCCAGAGGGAGTATCCTTATGTGAAGTATGACGATTATGTGGCAAGGGAAGTCAGCACAAAACTTCTCTCGAGGCTGGAGACGCAAAAACAAATCTGATTTGAGTGCACCGTCAAAGGTGTATCGTTGGTTCTTTAGGTACTACCTATTTACTGTGAGACTTAACACACTGGATTACAGATTATATAAAAACTAGTCTTCGCCTTTTGCTTGACTGAAGTGCTGGAAGATATTCAAACAGGCCATCCAACAAATAAATTGACTTCACCTTGCTGTTTCTAACTTTCCAAGTAGTAGATTGCAAAGTCGCCCTTACTCATCTACACTTCACGATAAAGAAATCCAGTTATAAATATCAACTTTATATTAGCTAATGAGCTCCAAAGTGTGATTGAATATCTGGCTGTGGGTTTAGGCACGGGACGCATATACCCAGCAAGCCAAATGGAAGCTAAAGGAAAAAGTCGATGTACTTGGCTTAGTATCAGCAAACAAAGCTCAGCTCCCCACAAAAAGAGAATAGCCCTTCAGCCCGTGTTGCTGGAGCTGATAATAATACCAGTTTTACTAAAAACAATTGGGACTTGCCGAACAATACGGGCTCGTCTATGAATAAGAAAAAAAACTCGAGACTTTTGTAGAAAAAAATATTGATGGCGACCATTCGTTTCGCCAGTTTATTTGGTACAGCTTCTTAGCGACTGACGATCGTCGTTCTCTAACAGTTCTTGTTATGTGAATTTCTGATCTTTTGACATAGCATCGGAAATAAAAAATACTGAGACGATCGCTCTGAATTAGTGTAGAAGAACCGGAGTTCTCCTTATTTCCCTTCACTTAGGACACTATCTGGTTACATTCCTCAATAGGCAAATCCGGGTCAACTAATGCTCAAGAAGCGAGCGCACGGAGTACAATACCACACAACGAATGTCCATTGTGTACTAGCTGGTATATCTGATTGGCCTATTTTTAGATATTACTCAAATCCATAAAATCAGTAGCCGAAAACTTAAATTCTTATCAGTAATGGTATAATTAGCATCAGTTGTGAAGTAACAAGAATGTCTTGATGAGATCGTGTAGATATAAGAATCAGTGTCAATTAATTTCTCCATCATAACCCTTCCACTATCTTGACAATTTTATAAAATGTGCTTTGTCACCCTTTTACTATTGGCATGGATGGATATTATATAAGTTAATACGTTGGTTCCTCCCGTGGCTAACTCAATATAATGTAACTTATATAACGACACTTGTTTTAGTCTTGGCTCTATATAATCATAAAAATTATTTAACACCGTTCATACCATCGATGTATATATATTACTATTACTAATGTATGTCTTGGGCTATTATTATTGCCTTTCCTAAAAACTTAGTTTATTCTCATTTTCAGCAAGGAAGCGTCAAATACAAATGCAGACATTCAGATATTTACTAGATCACAAGAGAGATATAGGCAGTAAAGGAAGCTGTTGTATCAACACTTTCTTGATGATTGCAAATTATACAATAGCTTCACTCAGATGTGTAAGCTAGGAGAATACTACACCTTTTTGTGTGATGAGTGAGTGTATCTTTTTTGAACAGACACACCTGAATTAATGCAGAGATTTTCACGGTTTTTCCTTCCATTATAAAAAAACAGGGGAGAACTAGATGAGATTGCTTGTTCAGATTCAGTGTAGATGGTATACTAAACACTCTTTAATTGTCCAGTGAAGTTGGAACTTATCAGCCCGTGATCAATAGTCAATTGAGCAGAAGATATATTGAATATGTTTGAAGTAAGCATAGTTGTTTGTCTGGTAGTTATTAAGGGTTAATGGAGCTGTCGACACATATAATAATCTGAAAGAGTAAGATAAAGTCGAAGGAAGTAGAAACTGTAGACAAGAGAGCAGGTAGATATTAGCTAAGTCCACAATACGACACAACAGTTCCTTCTAGGCTATCAAGTCTTCCTGAACTAGAACGGAAGATCACTTTTGACAATTAGGTAAATTCAGATCCACCTAATCATTCCTCCCCCTTTGGAACAATGAGAATAGTGAGATATATATCTAGTAGATTAGCCAAAAGAAGGAGTTTAAAGCATTATGGCGACTTGAGTATTGATTATTTTTTTCTCCAAATATGAGATTATTCTAAAATTGTTTTCTTTTTATATAGAGTAGGTACAATAATTTACGTGACAAAAGCAGTTTGGTCATTCCC